ACCGAATTTAGGCTGTACTCCGCAAGCACAGCACAGCCCTGAACTCGGATTCGAAAAAAAATCAGCGGATGACCCTCTACAGACTGGTAGGCAGACCGACCGGTCGGCGCTACTGGTAGACTGGAAAACGGTCGGAGGTCGCGGTAGGCGGGTATGCAACCCTGTAGAGAGTCACAAAGAATCGCCCCATGAAGACTTTACAGAAAGGGAGAAGAAAATTGAGGGGGTGTGAACAGGGATTGCAACCACGACCTCGCAATCAGAGGTTCGATCGTGACCAAGGGTTGTTGCAACAGACTGCTTTATTTTATTTGGCACTCTTCAATGACAAAATATACTTGAAACGATAACATAAAAAGGGATCGGAAAGTAGCCGTCCCTATTGTTGATTGAAAAACACACTACCTGCTACCTGCTCCATTTCAGGAAGCAGACTCAGCAGAGACATTCGAATAAAATTGTGACCAAATACGATGCTCCCTGCTGAATACCAGGCCAGCAGCCGAATTGGGAATATGATGGATGCTGCTGCTGAAACCCACGAACACCGTGTCCTAGCTGTAGTGGTAAAGAGACTTGGCTCTTGAGGCCGAGGTTACCGGTTCGAATCCTTGCAGGCGCACGGACGACAGCTTAGGCCCAGAGGTACGGACACATATAATCAACCAATCAACCACTTGGAAATATGGCCACCGACCTTATGAGGATTCAGATTGCACATCAGCCCCACAGGGACCGACTGATGGGAATTTCGACCAGAGGAGTTATGCAGTTATTAATACTACTACTAATAATCAAAACATAATCAATATCTATCCAAGCAAATTCAAAGAGGAAATTGATAAAAGAATAAATACCATAGAACACGCCAACGTTTCTCCCGATAGTCCGCAGGACCTACCTAGGATGGGGCAAGGCACAGTTACGTGTACAGTCAATCATCCTGAACAAAACCGTCCGTTATACAATGAATGTACCTCGGCGTCGAAGAAAGTAAACTGAGGGATGGGGATTAGTATGGGAAGAAACGATACAAGGAGAGGATGCGAAAGACACACACACACGCACACACACACACACACACACACACACACACACACACACACACACACACAGTGCATGTGCAATGCGCAAGAGACAGGCCAGTACTAGAAGCAAAACTCACCAAGCTAGTTGGGGTGCACCTCCCTCAGACACCAACCTACCTACCTTCTGGGACAGATGTCGAATCAATCCACCGCCAGTCTGGCTTCTTCGAAAGCGTTCACACTCCTTCATCACCGACTTATGCTGACCTGCGAATACCAGAGCCTTGATTTGATCAGCTCAAGGATCAAATATGATGGCCAACCGAACGAACAGATTCTCGTCAGCTTGCTCCGCCCGACTGACTCGCGGTGGACCTGCTGCTTGACGACCTGGATGCGTACTGGTGCTGCTATTGACTGTCTCCTTTCTTCCCTCGCAGCCTTGCTTTGAATCGTTTCCACCCCGTCTGAATCGTCAATGCTGCCCACTGACGCCATTGATACGAGTAACATTTCACCCTTCTTTTCATTGCCTTTGTCTGGAGTCCAGGGCAACGATCGCAGAGGAACAGCAGATCCTCATACCCTAAGGCGAATGTGTCTGCCATCGCTGACACGCATTCAATATTCCGCTGGGACAGCGGAAGCTGATCACGTGAGAAGGGACCCGACGAATCGACATCGACATCATGATCATCATCGTCATCCATAATATCCACAACCCTCTTCTTCGATGACCGCTTTTTCTTTCTCCTTGTTTTTCTTTTGGATCCTGGTAACTCCTTCAGCAGACACCATCCCAACAGCTCCTCCCCAAAGAATTGACCGTCAACAAGGTCGTACACATCAGGTGGGTCATTGCTGCTCTTGCACTCCAGCCGCCCACTGACAATGAAACACATCGACATCACAGGGCACCCCTCACAGGTAATCACACTATCCTTCGGATACATCCTCTGCTGCAGCTTCTCGCAGATCATGCCCAAAGTTATCATATCGATGTCCTAGCGCATCATCAACAGACACATACAACACCGCCAAACACAATCACGTCAGTTACGTATAAATTTAAAATAATTTAAATAAATGAATAAATGTCATCGACCCCTAAGCTACCAGCGGGGCCGCCCGGGTCACCTTGTTTGACTGGGCAATCCGGACGTGCAAGCGCCAGAGGTGGTCCCAGCAAAAAAGAAGAAAAAAAAAAAAAATCAAACAAATCTGAAAAAAAAACTCCCCTAGGCTACCATCGGGGCCGCCCGGGTCACCTTGTTTGACTGGGCGATCTGGACGTGCGAGGGCCAAAGGTGGTCCCACCCAAAAAGAAGAAAAAAAGAAAAAGAAATCAAACAAATCTGAAAAAAAAACTATGTTATGCAGAAAAATAGACTGAAAAACTTTTGCCCACCAAAAAAGAAAAAAAAAAAGAAAAAAATCAAACAAATCTGAAAAAAAAAACTATTTTATGCAGAGAACATGAAGTTTTTTTTTATAGGGAAAACTGAATCTGTACACCACTTAAAGATGGGAATACCCGCTATACCCACTCCCAGCGCCAACTTGCAATTATACCCAGACCCTGTTCAACTTAACGTAGTACCACACTTTTCCCTTGTGTGGAAATTGTACACATACCCAGTCCTGCAGGTCATTGGTAGATTATGCTCATGCCCAGAAACAGGGCTAGCGAAATTGTGGCTGTACCCACGCCAAGTCCACCATCTCTCTCTCTCTCTCTCGCTCAGCAGCAGACCTGCGCACAACGCCCAGGCACCTCTCGATCTCTCACGCGGGCGCCTCTCTCTCGCTCTCTGTGTTGATGGGCGCATGCGAGAGAGCGAGAGCTATATATATTGTCACATAACTATGAACTAAAACAGCGCAATTTGCGAAACAAACGGCAAAAAAAAAAAAAACACGACAAATATGAAGGGCACAGTGAAACCATTCATTTTACTCATTCTTCTTTCCACTCCCCTTTCACCGTGCCTCTCACGTACAAGGCTCGCCACGTTGATGAAGTTACGAGCTGCCCCCATCCCCGTGTGCCATAACAGCCCACTTGTACGCTGTGAGAAAGAGCCAGAGTGAAGGGGGAGGGGATAAACACAGGGAGGAGAGAAGCAGACAAACAAAGAACGATAAAGGGAAAGTAAGGGAAAGTATGGAGTGTGGAGTGAAGATCAAGGCAAAAGAGGATAAGAAAAGGCTCAAGAATGAGTCTGTCCTTGACGACAGAGAGGACATACATTGTAAGGATGACGTGGATGAACACATGGAAGACCTAGCTGAGCATTTTCAGTGCAACAATTGCCACGACGGGTGGCATGCATATAGATAGATAGATAGATAGATAGATAGATAGATAGATAGATAGACAGATAGATAGATAGAGATAGAGATAGATGGATAGATAGACAGATAGATAGATAGATAGATAGATAGATAGATAGATAGAGAGAGAGAGAGAGAGAGAGAGAGAGGATTAGGTGGACAGCCCTGATCTTAAACCCGCCAGTACACGGCCCTAGCCTTGTTGAAAAGAAAACTCCTCGCCTACGAAAATTTCGGAGGCCCAGCGCCGTAGATAAATTGAATCGGCGGTGGGCGGCCTCCAAAAAGGGCCCGCGGCCGATAGCTGAATGTACTGGTGGTTTAAAGATGGGAATACCTGCTATACCCAGTCCCCCTCAGTCCCAGGTATGACCATAATTTGGCCTGGGTACGACTATAATTTGAGCATTCCAGTGACCATAATTTGGCCTGGGTATGACTATAATTTGAGCATTCCAGTAGTTGGTTACAGCCGCAATTTGGTGGGCCCACCTCAGTCTTCAGTATGCAAACAAGTTGCACTGGCAAATCCGGAGTATAGGTGCAAGTTTGCACTGGAACTGGGTACAGCAGGTATTCCCATCTTTAAATGTAGTACAGAATACTACAGATGCAATCCTCCCTTATTTTTATCTTTTTAATTCTTTCTGGCCTGGCCGGGCAAGTTGTCCCCGGCCACTCTGGTGGCCTAGGTCAGCACCACAATAATTCCAGCTCTGTGGTGCGCATTTCACTCCTTTATTTTTCTTTTATCTCTCCCAGTCCGTTGATAAAATATCTGCTCCGTTTATTTCATTGTTATTGTGTGCTGTGGCCTGTACGCACACAGGACCCGTGCCATTTGCATCGGCATACATGTACGGGACCTCTGTCCCCGTACATGCAAACGAGGCTTTCTGTGTTTCATCTTGGAACAGTCTCGCTGCTGTGCCCATCACAGTCATTGATGGGCACAGGACAGAAGCTTCAAATGGAGAGGCTTCCCTAGCTGCTGCTCCACTACCTCCTCCCCCACCCCCACCCCCACCCACCACCAGAGCCTGATTCCTCACCACAGATCCGACATCTCCACCCGTTGCAGCTTGATTCCCCCCCCCCCCCTTGAATCTCCACACACCAATCCACTGGATCAAATCAGATCCAATGGAGAGACTTGCCAACCCTGTGACAAGCCGTGTCTGCCGATCGAGAAGGGATGCCCAACTTGCATCGAACTACAAGAGCAATATATCTGTGCAACGACACAACTATTATAGTGTTATGATTCTGTCTCTCCCTGTGCGGTGTGATACTCCAACGAACAACCAGAATCATAACAACAGAGTTGGCAGCCCAAGGGTAGCCACAGAGAGGTCACAATAGGAGGCAAGGATAAACAATGGGGGAATGCTCCCAAGGATTCAACAGTATGGAAGCAGAGGGACAGATGGATTATCTGCCAAAATGAATGCAGGTTGACCCGAACAATGCTGCTGCTCAGAATTAGAAGATGCTGAACAGAAAATCACTTCACAACACCTGAGTCAGCAGTTAATCCCCTTTCTTCAAAAAGGGTAATACCAATGCTGCCTCAGGAATAGGCTCCTTATGACTGTGACTGGATGTAATGTGAGGGACACTGGACCCAGTTTCCAGCAAAGGTAACGCGCAGCAATGGAAAGGAGCCATCAGAATGGGAGGACACTACTCGAAGATGCTCATATCCCCCTTGAGCAGTGGTGCATCCTGAGGTGATGCTTAAGAAGAAAAACAAAAGAGGGAATAAGGGGAAAGTAAGGAGTGTGGAATCGAGATGAAAGCATCGGAAAAGGAAAAAAAAGAGGCTCAAGAATCAGTCTGTCCTTGACGACAGAGAGGACATACATTATAAGGATTAGACAGATGAAGACATGGAAGACCTAGCCACGCATTCTGAGTACTGTGATGACCCGGCCAAACACGGACTGAGACACACAGTTGATTTCTGAGTTTTGCTCATGGACTGAACGCCTTGCTGAGTTTCCCCTTGCTACTCAGTTCCGCATGTCTGTGTGTATGCACGCTTGCTGGTCTGCATGACTGTCCGAGTGCTGGTTGGCTTGAGTGTGTGTGTGACCTGCAAGGGCACTTGTTCGTTCATTGGGCCCTCAGGGCCGGTACTTACCTGTGGCCGTGACATTGAGGTCTGCAGCGGAAAAACACTCGAGTGGCGGGGGAAGAGGCCCGCAACACTTGAAGCAGCGTGGAAACACTCAACTAGCAGGTAGGCCCGTACCACACCCTGAAGTTGTAGTGTACCAGCAGAAGAAGACACAAGTGGCATTTTGAGAGGCCCAGTAGTTGTAGGCTAGGTCTAGGCGGGTACCAGTCCAGCCTGTCTGAGTCTAGGGCCTGTACGGGCAATATCAGAGTCTGCAATGAGGTTTCCCTTCGAAAGGGAGGAGGTACCGGTTGCTTGGAAGGCCGAGCGGCCTGGAAGTCACCGCCCAAGAGGCAAGCAGGCCGCTATATCTCCAGGCCGGGCGAAGAGCCCAGCCTCATTGTCAGTGTGCAAGTTTGGCGACACACTGGTTGGAGCGCTGGCTGGAGCAGCGCTAGCAAGAGCAGCGCTACTGGGGAAGGAGCAAGGACACGGAGGAGGAAGAAGAGCAGGAGGAAGGGGGAGTGCCAGAGGTACTTACCTGGCTATGGTGGCAGCCATCTTCATCACCTTGGTGGGCGCTGCAGCAGGAAGACCCCAGCTGGGGTAGAGCTACACCAAGAAGCTTCAAGGCAGAGTCAGGCATGGCGACCTGAGCTGGAGCAGCCATAGCTGCTTTGGGTTGTCCTTTGGGCATCAGGACAAGGCCCAGTAGTCTGCCATTGCCTCGGCCTATGAGAGTGAAGAGCGAGGGAGGCGGCCATGGCCGTGGTGGACCTCAAGTGATACCTGCAGTAGAAGAGGGATTCGGACATTGATTCTGGTTCAGCCCTTCAACATTGTACTATTATTTCTTGTGTGAATAAGAGAGGAGTAGTAAAGGAGGAGGAGAGTGTTTGGCGAAGAAGAAGAGCTTTATCATTTGTCTATGCTGGTGTACATCATCTTCTTCTTTTTTTTTCCTTCTTCTTCTTCTTACCCTCTCTCTCCTCTCAAGCTCATTCATTTCTTTCTGCAATTGGACGGCATTATACTATCTGATGAATGTGTATCTCGAAATTGGCCAGGATCATAACAGTACAACAATTGCCGCAACGGCTGGTGGCACTGCGCATGCCCATTCAAACACTCCGGACAAATGACATGTCAACTGCAGGCCAACATGAACGAAGAGCTGGCACCACAAAAGACCATCCATTCAGTGTAACGCCCATTGGCAGAAAAACGGACATAGACATTCGGACGCGGAGGCCGCCTGCAGTCAGGAAAGGAGGGACAGTCCTCTGCACCCATGGAAACGATGTCATTGTAGCGATTGTGACAGAGACGATAGCGACTGCAGCCCCGCAAAACAGTGTTTGCAGCTGTGCAAAGGAGAAGGTTGCCGATTGTTGATAGTAACTTGATAAATTGTCCTGCTGCAGCACAGGGACAGAGAAACGATCTCCGTGCGGCAAGAAAACCGCATCGCTCTGTAAGAAATCAGGAAATGGACCATGGCGCCGTTGTACCACAGATTCCCTTCAGTGGTCAGAGGCATGTACAATGGCC